TTGCATTGAATGGGTTGCGTTAGGCTGGAGGTGCTTGGGTGCAACTCCGAGGACAGTCATCCCTGCATCTGGGAGAGAAAAATAAAAATCTCTCCTCCCGGCCCTGCCTCCAATTGCTTTTCGCCCGTGGTTTCCTGCCAACACTCCCCCCCCCACCCCCCAAATGACTGCCACTAAGACGCAAGCGAGCAATGGAGACCCCATTTTGTTTAAGAAGGCCCCAAGATCCGGGCGGAGGTGGGGGTGGTGGAAGAGAGCGGGAAACTACAATTCCCAAGAAGCCCCATGGCGCGTCATTTCACACCGGCCAATGGGAGCGCGCCTTTTTTCCCCCGGCGCTGCCCGTGTGGTGGAGCTTTTGTGTGCGTGAGGAAAGGAGAGGAGGCGGAGGGAGCGGGAACGAGCAGGGCCGAGACCGGGACGCCGAGGACGAGCGGAGCGCCAGCGCCCCCTTCCTTTCCCCCCGACTCGGTGCCGCCCCCCTTCCCGCGCCCCTCGGCGGCTCTCTCTCGAGGCCCTGCGGCTCCTCGGCCGCCCGGGGACGGCACCCGGGTGGGGGGGGAGGGAGGGAGAGGGAGGAAGAAGAAGGGGGAAAAAAGAGGCGGGGACCGGAGCCGGAGAAGCGGGAAGCGTGCAGAAATTGAGCCCGGGGATCCAGCGCGGCCTATCTCGCGGGGCTTGGCTCACCCCCCACCCCCTTGCCGAGCCTGGCTCGGGCCGGCCTGGCTCGGGGCGTCCCCGGCGCGATTCCTGCGTTTTGTCTCTCGGCGGCGATCGGTCCGATACGGCGGGGGGAGTTAGAATGGAACTGACTGAAGGTGAGGCGGGAGAGAGGGAGGGGGGGGGGGGGGGGCGGGGCTTGGGGGGGGGGGGGGGGGGCCAGAACCCTGCGCGGGCAAGGCGCTTGCTCTAAACAATACAGCTGGCTTTCTCAAGTTGCTGGTCCTCAACGGTCCTCTTTGGCTTCTTCCAGGTTGCAAAGGGCTTCACTTTGTGCTCTCTTTTTATTTATTTATTTATTTATTTATTTATTTAGGCTGGGCGGATTCTTAGGATATCATAAGTTGCAAGTTTCTACTGGGGTTCTTGGAATTGCAAATTTGGAAAGGGGGGAAACGGGACGCCAGGCTTGGAAATTTGGGCTTTTTCTCCCCTTCCTTGCATTTTTCCTTTTCTCCTTTTTCTTTAACAGCAGCCCAAAAAATAACAATAACTTGGTTGCTGAAAAGGAGGCAGCTTGTGCAACTTGCTACTCTGTATATGAGTGTCACGTGCTACAGATGCCATTTATATTTGTAAGTGGTGTGTTTATATACCATTTATACAATGTTTCAGCGTGTATCTATTACAGTGTTTTAAAGTGTATCCATTGATGTCAACAACTCCTGGTGAGTAAGTAACATTTAGTGCTACTTACTAAAGGGTGGTGTGAAGTCAAAGAGTCCTGGGAAAGAAACATCTGCTCCCAATTTCTATTTATCTAGTAATCTCAGCTTTTCTAAATCTTGTCTTCTTGGCAAGTGTATAAACATTAAATGGAAAGAAATAGATCTATGGTATTTTGGTGTTTTTTTTAGAGGCAGGGTAACACACAAGCAGGACAGATAATCCCTATTAACGTATTTACATTCATGCCCAAGGTGCTGGATGAAAGGAGAGGGCAAATTTCCTGAAATCAATTATGATTTTAAGTTTGGAGTTAGGTTTCTTGGGTTCAGTCTTCTCTCCAACCAGCCGCCTTTAGGATGCATTAAATTACAGCTCCTATTATGATCAGAAGAATTAGTTGTGTGCCAGAATGTGAAGAGATGTAATCCAATGCCACATCCTGAAGGATTAATTTGCAGAAAGGTGAGCTGGTAGTTATGGTGGAAGGATGGCTTTTTGAGAAAGATTTTGAGAACAGCAGTTATTGGTGTGTGTGGTTGCTAGTGAGCGAAAGCACACGCCTGTAATAAGCAATTTAAAAATATTCAGGTATTATAAATGCTAAGAGTTAATTACTCCACTACAGCTCAATCTCTGCTTTTTTATATTTATATTTTTTATTTTTTATTTATATTTATATTTATATTTATATTTTTTATTTTTTATTTTTATTTATATATTTATATATTTAT